TTCCAAGAGTTGAAATTCCCAAATTTTGGGGGTTTGGGGGTCCTGGGATGGAATTTTTGGGAATTTTGGGGAATTTTTGGGAATTTTGGGGTTGAAATTCAGGAATTTTTGGGGTTTTTGAGCATCAAAAATGGGAATTTTTTTGCTCGTTTTGACGTAAAAAATGGGGAATTTTGGTGTGTTTGGCTGGGGATTTTTGGGAATTTTTGGGAATTTTTGGAATTTTGGGAATTTTGGGAATTTTGGGAATTGTGTCCCTTCCCCGGGGATGAAATTTGGGAATTTGGGGGGAATTGAGGACCAAAAATGATAATTTTTAATGCAAAAAACGCGAATTTTCGCTATAAAAATGGGGGATTTTGCTGTTTTTGACCGGGAATTTTTGGGAATTTTTGGGAATTTTTGGGTATTTTGGGAATTTTGGGAATTTTGGGGAATTTGGGGGGATTTGAGGACCAAAAATGTGAATTTTTAATGCAAAAAACGCGGATTTTCGCTATAAAAAATGGGAATTTTGTTGTTTTCGGCCGGGGATTTTTGGGAATTTTTGGGAATTTTGGGTATTTTGGGAATTTTGGGAATTTTGGGGAATTTGGGGGGATTTGAGAACCAAAAATGCGAATTTTTAATGCAAAAACCGCGAATTTTCGCTATAAAAAATGGGAATTTTGTTGTTTTCGGCCGGGGATTTTTGGGAATTTTTGGGAATTTTGAGGAATTTTGGGAATTTGGGGAATTCTGGGGAATTTTTGGGAATTCAGGGTCTTTTGAGTACCAAAAATGTGAATTTTTAATCTAAAAACCGCAATTTTTTGCTATAAAAATGGGGAATTTTGGTGTTTTCGACCGGGGATTTTTGGGAATTTTTGGGAATTTTTGGGAATTTTGGGAATTTTGGGAATTTGGGGAATTCTGGGGAATTTTTGGGAATTCAGGGTCTTTTGAGGACCAAAATTGCGAATTTTTAATGTAAAAAATGCGAATTTTCGCTATAGAAAATGGGAATTTTGTTGTTTTCGGCCGGGGATTTTTGGGAATTTTTGGGAATTTTTGGGAATTTTTGGGAATTTTGGGAATTTTGGGAATTCTGGGGAATTTTTGGGAATTCAGGGTCTTTTGAGGACCAAAAATGCGAATTTTTAACGCAAAAAACGCGAATTTTTGCTATAAAAAATAGGGAATTTTGTTGTTTTCGGCCGGGGATTTTTGGGAATTTTTGGGAATTTTGAGGAATTTTGGGAATTTGGGGAATTCTGGGGAATTTTTGGGAATTCAGGGTCTTTTGAGTACCAAAAATGTGAATTTTTAATCTAAAAACCGCAATTTTTTGCTATAAAAATGGGGAATTTTGGTGTTTTCGACCGGGGATTTTTGGGAATTTTTGGGAATTTTTGGGAATTTTTGGGAATTTTTGGGAATTTTGGGAATTTTGGGAATTTTGGGGAATTTGGGGGGATTTGAGAACCAAAAATGCGAATTTTTAATGTAAAAACCGCAATATTTCGCTATAAAAATGGGGAATTTTGTTGTTTTTGGCCGGGGATTTTTGGGAATTTTTGGGAATTTTGGGAATTTTGGGAATTTGGGGAATTCTGGGGAATTTTTGGGAATTCAGGGTCTTTTGAGGACCAAAAATGCGAATTTTTAATGCAAAAAAGGCGAATTTTCGCTATAAAAAATGGGAATTTTGTTGTTTTCGGCCGGGGATTTTTGGGAATTTTTGGGAATTTTTGGGTATTTTGGGAATTTTGGGGATTTTTGGGAATTTGGGGGGAATTGAGAACCAAAAATGCGAATTTTTAATGTAAAAAAGGCGAATTTTCGCTATAAAAAATGGGAATTTTGGTGTTTTCGGCCGGGGATTTTTGGGAATTTTTGGGTATTTTGGGAATTTTGGGAATTTTTGGGAATTTTGGGGAATTTTGGGGAATTCAGGGTCTTTTGAGGACCAAAATTGCGAATTTTTAATGCAAAAAAGGCGAATTTTCGCTATAAAAAATGGGAATTTTGTTGTTTTCGGCCGGGGATTTTTGGGAATTTTTGGGAATTTTT